TCTTTTGTCAGTGGTGTGTAAAATGCTGAAAATTAGATCAAGCCCTAATGAATTACTAATAGGCACCAAGAGAGCCCATTAACAAAGCCCCAGATGGATGAAAATCAACCGTGCGTGTCCGCTTTTTGTTTACACTTCCATGTGTGGCTTGGAGTGGCCCTTCACTTATTCTATTTCATGGACACCAAAGATGGAGATGTCTTTGCAAAACAGAAAAAGTTTATTGGAGGCTTTCCTGTATCAGATCATGAAGCCTTGTGAGTCTTCTTCTATTCTCCAGTCTCTCTCTCTCTCTCTCTCTCTCTGCAGGCCAACCCTTGGCACAGACTATTCCACTGGGGAAAGTCACTTTTTGCAAGCGTTGCCAAGATTTCTATTTGATGGCCAAAATGTGTAGGCAGACAGATCTATCCGTCCACATTCTGTCTATTCCTCTATTTCAAACTTTCTCTCCGGGGTTTCTATCAGTTTTTCTCTCCCTCTCTTTCTCTCTCTCTATCTCTAATACACACACATACAAGCACACACACATAGTGAGCTGTTTCCTCATCGTTCACACTGAGAAATGCCCTGTAAGGACGTCCTTATCCTGCAAACCAGACACTGCTGGATGCTCTGTAATAACAACTCCAGCCGTCCACCATCCAATCAGCCTGACTCACTGCTGTGTGTGTGTGTGTGTGTGTGTGTGTGTGTGTGTGTGTGTGTGTGTGTGTGTGTGTGTGTGTGATTTTGTATTTGTTGTTGTGTGTTTGTGAATATGCATGATTTACTCTTAAGATCTTAGACCACAAAGAACAGAAAGTATTTATATTCCTGACAAGAACAAAGACATAAACACCTCACACATTTAAAAAAAATGTTTTATTTATTTAAGCTCTTGTTATTTTTCAGGGGCTATTATTTAAAAAATAAATAAGCATTATATTTATTTCACAAATAATGCTGTAGACATTGGCATAACTGTTCTGAGAACTATAAATACAATTACAAAAATAGAACTTGTATTTTATAATAATAAGTGCTGGGAACATGTCAAACTGTTTGACTCTTGGCAAACTGCAAAGGCATTTCAGCTTCTCAATGTTCGTTTGGTTTATAATTTTGCTGAAGTAAGAACTTTCTTCTCTGTTGTATTTTGAAGTTTAACCTATTTTAATGATGGGCTGCCATTTTGACTGCAGAAAGTAGTTGGAAACACTTCACTATGTTTTCTTGGCAGATCTGTATCCATGATATTGTCATACTCTTAGGAATGACCACTTAAATTGAGTTGATGTGCAAGTCACGTCAGTAATTCTATAATTGTTGTAAGGTGATGCACAACTTTTTCATAATGCTAAAATATGATTTGTAACTTCCATATTATTGCAATATGTTACTTTGGTCAATACAGTAATGATAAAGGACAATGATACTTCCACAGAAGTAAGTGACACTGGTGACTTGGCACAAATAGAATGGTTATCAATTTTATATAAACAGTCTATGTATATGACCACAGAACATTATATTACTGACAATACACTACATTGTTTTAATGCTGAACATATTTCCATGCCATTTTCTAAAGTATTACCATTGTAGACACAAGTTACAGATGGCTGTCACAACAGTGTGCAGCTCCAGAAGTAAGCTTGCCTGACTGCATTTGCTCGAGGGGGTGATTTGCGGGCATCCGTCAGCACTAACTGGAAGTGACAGTGTGCAGAGAGGTCCTAATTACTGTCTCACTTGACTAATTGTCGTCAGTGAAGAATGTATTCCCACTGAGGTCCCCGGGATCTCAATGACAGCACTTCTCAAGACATATAGGCCAGCACTGACTCGGGCATGCATTTATGTTCGAGGCATTTGCTGAAGCAAAGCCACAAGTGGGAAATGTAAATATGTTGATCTCCAAACTGCCTGGGTCACTAGGCTTAAGTGAAGCCTGCATGGTGGGGTGCATTTGGACACACGCTGTTAATGCTGAGAAAAAGAGGTTGTTTATAGGTTTGTTTTTTGAGTGCAAAAGGGAGAAGTGTGTGTGTTGTTGTAGGGCCCTTCTTCAACTTGCCAACATGTAAAGACATCCTTAGCTACAGTCACTCTGACACAATGGGCTGATGAAGTGAGACCATTGTTGGCTTTCTGGAGCCAACCATGTTAGTATACACTTTTAGAATTCAGAATAATGCAGAAGAGTTGTGCCTTTAGTACAGGGTGAATGAATTGAATGAATGTCTTCTCTTTCAGGGTCTTACCATTCAAAGTGCATCAGCTTCTCGTTTCCATGGTTTCCCTCCCTGTGCCAATGCTATCTTTCTACCATGTCTGCCTGTGTGAGAGAGTGAACGAGGGCGGGAGAGAGGGAGAAACTGAGAGAGAGAGAATGACAGAAGGCTTTTAGCAGTGGTTATCTCTCCTTTGCATAAAGTCCCCTTTGCATTACCCAGTGCATGAATGGTCTCTGAATAAACACACCAGCCAGCTCATGTGGAAGCCTCCCTGGGTTACAAGCAAGTGGGTGTGTATAAAGTAATCTAATTTGTGGTCTCCTTCAAAAACGACACGGTTTGATCACAAGTAGAAAAAAAGGAAAACATCTCCCAAATGGTATTTTCCTATTTGTCACAACAAGCTAAAGGAGCAAGAGTCATTTTGACATCATAATGTAGAAATTCACCGTTCCCATCACCTCCAATTTTCTAACTGATTTGCAAACTCAGTAATGTTACTCTGACTGGCTTACCCGGCAGTGAATCGTTAAACTAATCTACAAACAAAAAAATGGAGACGTGAAGAATAGCTGATTATTTTATCCTCACATGCCCAATGCTGAGACACAGACGGAGAACAACGGTGTACATCAATATTAGAAAATTAAGTCGGAACAATTTGTGACAACCCTAATTCTATTCTGCAAATTACATTTGGGGAACATTGAATGTAGGGGCACCTGAGGGATTTTCGTGGTGCAGTACCTTAGCATTCAGCCAGAGGGTGCTGTGACTTTAAGAGGAAACCAGCATGCCTGTCAGCTGATGTCTTCTCCCTGAGCTCAATAAGCATTCCTTTCATGCTGTGTGAAGCTCTGCTGACTTATACGGGAACCCTGAATTTCTCCATAATTATGCTAATGGTCCAGATGGTGGCATGATGAGTGCCATTCTCTTTGATATTCTCACACTGCAGATTGCTGGTGTGCAGACCCACGCAAACTGACACACGTTCAAAGTCAGTGTTCGCACCTACTTGATCCCATGTAATTACTTTGTGTTTCTTTTAGCTGACAAGCGTCCTCTTCACTATTAAATGCATTCACTTTTACAGTATTTGTGAACGGGGATTTGACAGTTCCGATGCATAATGGAGTATCACTCCAATAGCAGAGAGGGAATGTGTTAGTCATCTTGTCCACACGTTTACTCTAATTTCACTATTTTGCATGCAGTCTAATTAAGACAAACCACACAGGCAGTTACCAGCATTGTCAAAAGAGAAATAGACCATGATATATGCATTGTCACTCAAAATATCTATTTAAATACACTATAAGGCCATGCAGGAATATTGTAGTGACTTTCAAAGTATTTCTACTACACACAGTCAATCCATTCACACTTTAGTCACACAATGACTGTGTTCATCCAGGCTTTGGACTCTGGTGCGCTGATCAAAGCCTTCCTTTCACGTCTCCGTTGGGATTAAATAGCCCTCTTGGGGGGCGGGTGCACCACTGTACATAGCTCCAGCTGATGCACTGGCCCATGAAGAGCTGCTCATTGGGGGTGGACGCTGATAAGGTTCATGGAGTGTTGAATCAATATCATGTAGACCCACGCTAAAGCTGCAGATATCCATCTTCTCGGCGCATTGCCTCCTATAGGATACAGCCTCAATTGAACTCGCTAATCAGATAGAAAGGCGATAGGCCCATTTAAAATCTCGAGAGGATATCTTTCCCCGTGAAATATAAGCAACAGCGGAGCTTTGCGTGCATGCCACACACACCTTCACATCGGAGGATGGCTCTCACTCGAGAATAGTCTGTTGCTGGAAGGCTTTCATGTCTAAAGTGGAGTTATTTGCATAGGTTAAATATTCGCTTTTCAGCAGCCTCTGTCGATATGACGGATTTACTGTTCTGCCAATTTTAATTCCTTTCATCCCACTCCTCCCACATTTCTGAAATGATGGTGGAAATGGTTGAAAGGTTGTTGCTTGAAATCCCTTAAAAGAGGTTTAGAAAGGAAATATAATGACAGAACACAATGTATCCTACTGTACGGGTGTAAGGGAAAATAAAATCAGTGCAATGATATCCTGCAGGCATGAGATTATATCGCTATGTGCAGTGTGTGCATAGTTATTTCTGTATGAGCCTGTAAAGGAAAGTGCCTCTTGAATTAGCCAAAGCTTAAGCATCCTCCAGTGGGAACAATAAATCATTGCTGGCTGTTTACCCTGAGAAACATTACTTACAGTAGACTCCCATTCCTTTCTGCGGCTGACATGCAGGTTTACCATCAGTCCATGGTGCTGAAAAGACAATCGGCCATAATAAACAAGACAAAAATATGTAGTTAAATAGAGGTTGCACTTTCTACATGTCACTTCATAAGCAAGATGCCATTTGATCAATATCACAACAACTGTATTTCCCTCAATGTATGGATGCATCATGCTTTGTTTTGTTACTAAATCCGTATTGTGAACTGCAAGTAAGGCTTCACGTTGAAGTTAATGTTGTTGCACTTACAATATTGCATCTTTACTGACAACTCTCTAAATGCATGCGAGTTTGGTGCAAGTTATGGGGGTAGCAGAGAAACTACAGCCTGCAATAAAGTTTCCCATCCTCCCTCCCCATTATTCTCTCTGTCCCGTCGTTCATCTCCCTCTCTTTTTCCATCCTCCCTCTTTTTATCTCTATCTATCTGTATATCTATCTCCCTCCTTCTCCCCCCACTCGCTCTCTCTGTCTTTCTCTGGTGCGTGCTCACAACACTAACCTTGGCTCGACGTCAGAGCCTGTGCAGCAGTGCAGTATAATGGGAGCGCAAGCTACCCAGAGCGCCTCATAGGGGGCTGTATATCGCTGCTGTATCCTCTGCTTGGCGCTCTCTAGCCCCTCTCCAACCCTCTCCAGTACCTCACCTACAGCCCATGCTCGTGCTCCCCCCTCCCCACTGGATCCGTACCCTTCGACATGGATGTCCCGCCGTCCCTCGACCCGGAGGATTGTTGTTTCTTGGCGCAGTGAAAGAGGAGAAGGAGAAGGGGAAGGAGAAGGAATCATGCCGGGACTGCTAATGGATTTAGGGAAAGCGCAAGTGACCATGCCGTGATCTTGCGCATCCAGGGCCGCCGTCACCCTGCCTTGCCCAACGAGCGTAGAAGAATTTCGGGGGAATCGAACCCGCGCACCGGGGGGATTAAACCACTGTGCATTTTTTAAAAACAACATGAAGATTACCTCCCATCATCTGATGATAAGCAGTCTCGTTTTCAGGTCCAACCTCAGGCTGATCCCGCTTCTGCTGCTGTTTCTTGGTTACTCTCGCGGGATGCCACACGTTTTAAGATTTGGTAAGATATATGTTTGTTTGTTTGTTTGTTTGTTTGTTTGTATTGTATCTTCTGCAACGATGAAGTGCCCGTAGGATTGTCGACAGCGAGTGAATGAATCACGGGATGCAGAAGCAGTATAGAGACATGTTATACTCTCGCCTTTTAATAGTTTAACAATTTCAACCCTTCTCTAAAAAAAATTACATTCAATCAACTGTGGCATCTTTTATTTTGAAGTGTTTTTACCGAGTGCATATTATCATGAATCGTGTATTATACGAACCTTAAACACAGTGTTACAGTAACTTTAAAATAAAATCCCCTGCAGCCATAAAGCCTTAATGAAGCAGTTCTCTATATGCAACAGTTTATAGATACGGGCAGATGAAACTCGTAAAGAATTAGCAGCTCACATCTCTTCTCAAGACTTGTATCTCCACGGCCCTTTAAACTGCTGACACCCAGCATGTCCTCTGCAGTAAATGTTTACATGTAAACATTACACCCGGAGTGCTGATCAATCACTCTGTCCTGTCACAAGGGCTGATCGATACGCAGGGAAGTGCTTTTCATCCTTAATCCCACTGAACTGCTATTCAATGGGAATCCCCGAGATTTTGCTTATTTACCGTTATTGCCAGATTAAATTTATAGTTCCGGTTCAGCGGCTGAGTCACGTTATAAACCACAGCAACAGTTAAAGGTCGAAAATCTTCTGTGGAGCTTATAAACCTAACGATTGATTAGACATTTCTCTCAACACCGCCTCGAGGAAAGATTATAGCCACAGCCAATTGTGCTTATTAAATAAGTGCTTCAACATGTTGCCATTGCTCCAATCATAACTTTAAAATAGTGCTATTGCTGCCGTGTATTCATGCACTCATATCACTGGATCAGCGTCCTGCGGTTTCGCCTGTTTCTTAATAAGATCCTGTGTTTCACCGCTTTCTGTTGAATGCAAACAGCATATTGGAGTGACAGAGGACCCCCACACCCCCACCCTGACAGCGGATGTCATCAAATGTTGACAACACATCCTCACAATCCTTAAATTCCCCCGAGGATCCTGTTTAAGAGTCAGGCCGCGTCCGCGTGAGCCGCCGCTATGGCAACGGGATGTGCTTGCTTGTCTTCCTGCTGCATCCTCAGCCGCCCGACGAGCCACTTCCGTCTCACACGTTGTCTGACAGACGCCGGTCGTCTTTTCACCAATGATTGAGATCCCCGTATAGAAGCATTTGACACGAACATTTCCAAGCCGTCACCACTTGAATATAGCCTACCTCGCCATGATAGGCAAGGAATCCGGCATTAGTAGCACGACAGACACAACCATGCAAGATAAAAGGTGATTCATGGCACTGCAATCTCTTTCCTCTAAAGTAACGCTCATGTTTGATTTTGACGGTGTTCTTGTGGCAGTGAAATGGCCGTGGCGTCTCGAATGAGGCTCAAAAGGCGAGTCTCTGTCCTTTGTGCTGAATTAGCTCTTGTTCAGAACCACGGACAGAGACCCTGGCAGTGCAGTCTGCTGCCTGTTGCTCAACCAAAAAACGTTTTTAATAAGCTAGAATGAGTCCTGTAAGAGCTTGGGTTTTGTACAGCATATCTCTTTAAGTCTAGTAGCAGCCACTTCACATATTTGCTGTTGTAATACTGCTCCATTTTGTGTAGTGTAATTCATTCTCTTTAGAAAAATATATATTTTCATCTCTCTGTTTTCATTTAAAGGAGAAGAGTTTCCACAAAAGTAGATGAAGATGGATTTTATGAGTGGGATATTTTTATCAGGAAAGAAAAATGTATGTCAGTGTGTGCAAGTGTAAGAGAAATACAAAAATGCCCTGAGAGAAGACGTAGCACATTGGTTCTTTACCCCGTGCATTTCCTGTCCTGCAGGAGATGCTTGCTCAGCAGATAATCCCAGCTGCTCCCGGCTAAATGAGGAGGTCAGCTCCCCCGGGGCGGTCTGCTCCTCCTGCCCCATCTCCCATTCTGCCCAGACAGGCGGCTCACATTGTACAACCGCTGTTCTCCTGTCAGGCTGAGACCTTTACATACACACAAACATGCACACACTCATTGTAACACCAAAGCATAGTCATCCCTTTGTATTCACGGCATCGGCCCCTCCATGTAGAGCGACAAGTGTCAGAGAGTGTTGTGGCCACCAGCTGCAGGCAGCCATGCTGAACTAACACACGCACAAATGACATATCACGTTCAATGTTCCTCATTTATAAATATGATATGCAATGCATGTACTTTGATACAGAAATTGTCCCGGTGCAGCCATTACAAAGTGAAATAAGACGAGATAAGATTCTCTTTTTAGAATACGTTTTTACTTTCCTTTCGGGAACACTGAAAGAGACTTTGTTCAAATCCCAGAATAAAAGTATTTTTGTATTATTGCCACTTTGGTTTTCTCTCGTAGTCCACCTCAACAATGTAGGCCAAATACAAAGCTGTTAAATTTCCACTTCAAACATGGAAATTAACAGCTTTGTTGAGTGGAATGAAAAACCGAATTTGCAAACTGAACTATGGTTGACCAATTTAATTGGTTCCCCCTCAGTTCTCCTAGATGACTTGTTAGAATTCAGTGAAGTGGAAATTCAGGGTTGCATTCAAGTCATTAGCATTATTTGTCAGCTAACTGGTAGGCTAAGATGAAAGCTGCTCATTTTACATCATTCCATACAAAAAGCGCAACATGTTCAGGATCTTATTTGGTAGTGCTCGTAACAAATACTCACAAGCAATGAGTCATCACATCTGCCTTTCTATCAAAGCTATTTTGGTTTTAAAAAAAAGGCCTCAGGAAGAATTTAGACAGAAGCAGAATCAACAATGAAATAGGGAGACAGTGTTTTAATTCTGATGACCGTAGTGCGACTGAGTGATGGCATTATCACCGCCATCTTCAATCCGCATTGGCAGACGCAGTATATCCCTGGGCTGTCAACATGCTGCTGGAAGCATTGTGGACTCAGAGAGGTTCATTTTGTTTGTTTGTGTCCTGGTTATATTTGTATTTCCCTCAATGCTCTGGGAATATTTATGACCAAAGCACAACATTGTTTTTCATTTTTGAAAGGAAGCTTTCTTCCCCCAGTCCTCTGGCAAAAGACACTTCTCCTCTGGTGAAAGCTATGTTTATGTAAATACTTCCACAATGTTGTGCAACGATAAAGGCGCTTTATTACATACACTCATTTCCTTCCCTCATCAGTGCTGTGGTGGCGACATTACAGTGTCGTCAGGAACGAGCAAGGCAAAGCGAACAAATTCAAGGGGAGTTTGTCGTTAATTGACTTTATTTGCTTTTGCTTTCCCGCCAGCGTGAATTATCATCATGGAGTTTAGTTTGGGATTGCAGGAATTAAGGATAACACCCTGTGCCCTGGCCCGCTGCCAGCCCGTTCACAGCAAACACATTTAAATAGGCACAAAGCTGCTTAAAATATTCATGTGTCACTTGGCCGCGCTGTAGCTTATAGAAATATGAAACCATCTCCTCTCTACTGGCAAATGATTTCCACGGTTTAAAAATACCAACCGTGGGTTTCAAGAACAAAAAGGAGATCTGTCTGACATTAGCATGCAGCACCACACATCGGCTCGAAACAGGGAACTATCTAAATGGATTTTTTAAAACATGTTTACGTTCCTGAGACTTTGAAGGACTTGCTGTCATGCCTCGGTTACAAAAGGCTCAATGGTGATTAATTCAGGGGACAGATTTCTTGGTATTTTGTAATGGGAAATATCTGTGAGGTATGAAATTAGTTTTCTGGTTAGCATTTAGTAAATCTCAGATTTACCAGCTGTATTGGAAAAGATTATTTGCATGAAGGAGGCTTAGATGATTGACCTTGTTTGCAGGGCAACCAGTTCTAGCTGCCTCTTAATGTTTATTATAAAAATAAATCTAATACATCTGAGTCCTATTCTGCTACTGCCTTGTGGAAGGTTTGATTCCTGCATTTGGTTTTATTATTCACTGCCTTTCACTCCTTGTCCTTGTCAATCAGGCTCTTCCCTGCGTATCAGGAGGGTTAGGGGTTGTATGTGCAATTGTTCTGAGAACGTGTCCCTTGAGAAGAGCCCTGCAGCATTGCTGCCTGGTCGTCTGGCTCAGAGCTGACTGAAGGTCAGAGCTTGTACGCTCACAGTGAATAACATTTTTTTGCATACACATGTGGAGATGTCCTTCTCACAATCCCACCAGGGGAGATGGAAGAAAATGTGAAGTCAATGAGAAGTGCAAGAAAAACAAGAGTGTTTGTTAGAGAGGGGGGAAACAGAGAGATATAGAGGAGGAGGGGGGGGGGTGTAAAGTGTGAGCGAGAAGAAAAATAGTGAGTGTTGGAGCCAGCAGATATCAAGTAAAGATAGATTAGTTTGCCTCTGAGCAGTCCACTCTCAGCCCACTCTCAGTTCTGGTCTTTTATTACTGTTTTCTGATGGCTTTTGTGAAGAGAGACAGAATGGACACTGGAGTGTGTTGTGGAAATGTAGTGGGAGGCCAGGAGTCATGAGCTGCAGCTCTGAGTAAATGCCAGCAGTATACTAATAGAAGGACAGGACTACAAATATGCAGGAAATAGCTTTTGCAACAAAGATAGTTATACAAATATCCTCATAGGTAACAACGTAGTACCTTGGGGAACTAAACCCACAACAATTGTATTAGGATCTAGTGCATTTATCTATATTGTCTCATTACATAGTTGGCTGTCTCCACTTGCAGTAGACTGACAAATGTTGGGAATCAATACAAATCAATATGGTTGTATTGCTAAGGGGAACAATGAGAAAGAGAAGAAACTGGCAGCAGTGCACATACCCAGTGCCAAGTCGTCGTCGTCTGTCGTCGTCGCCCCCCCCCCCCGTGTGTATCTATCACAGGTTACCATCTGTGAGAATGCAAACACGTAAACAAAAACAAAAAAACACCAAATGTGTACCATAAGAACGATGTGTGGGAATAAATGTACAATACATGTTAC